GTGAAGATACTGGTATTTGTAAAGTCCAAACGGAACCAAAAAAGCAGGAGGAAACTTATAAAGGACTTGTTGACAATACCTCAATTACTTTTATCAAGGTATGACCTAGTGAAATTCTTTTGTGATACTTTGAATGGTAGCTTTAAAAAAAATAATCATTATTCTTATCATTATTGTAGTATATTCAAGTGAGTGAGAGGTTACAATGTGGTAGAAAGATTCCACCCAATTCATTCAATCATACGGGAAAACATTCCCATGATCCAAACGGAGAGGGTGTACATTATTGTGATAAAAAATGTAAGTCTAAAGTTTATTGATGAATATTTTATTATCAAGTCATTAACTCGTATTTTTTTAAACAGGCATATTTTGTGAATATTACGTAAGATTCAGTTTATTTTTTTTTTGGTACAGTAATATTTAGGTTATATGTCATAATCATTTATTAAAATATGTCAATGGTTATTTTAGTGTACTTTGCCCTATGGACACATACAAAATTTACATGATACACGTCATGGAAATATGATTCAAACAGAATTTACTGCAGAAGATAATGAATTTGAATATGGAGGGTATGTATAAAAAAGCATATAAATTTGTTATTTATTGCAAATAATGGATTTTTTAAATAATATATTTCCATTTAAATTTTATTATTTAGTCATAAATTAAAAGCTGGAGATGAAGGAACTTTTGTATTGTGTAATTTGGTATGTAGTTGCACGAATGCTTATTTTTATATGGATTTTTATTAATTACTTTTATAATTCCAGCATTGTAAAGAATTAGGCAGGCATCGACACATTGACTATTGCAAAAATGAAGATGCGTGTAAATTCAGTACAAATCAGAATCAAGACATACAACATATTAATGGTATGTATTTCGAACCCTCCAATTTATCATTAACATTTATCAAAGCTTGTATTTAACTATAATTTTTATTTTAGGTCGCGTTCATCCTAATCCTAATGAAGCAAAAGATTTTATATCACATCGGCTCTTCTGGGAGCGTACTGGTTTTAAAGGTGTGTAACATCGATTCATTCTTAAGAAGATATGCTATTAAATATTCTGACTTGAGTCGTATAATAAATTAGATCCATATACTGTTCAAGAGCAACAGGAATTTGCTAGGTGTGATCACGAATGTAAAGATGAAAAACATCATAAACCACAAAATCCAAATGGTCCACCACCACCAAGTCGATTATTATGAGTTTGAATAAGAGTGTTATAAATTGGTGTATTTTGTAGAGGTCTCTTGTCTCTGTCAGACATTGAACCAGATCGATCTAAGACAAAAATTATATGAAATGCGGCTTCGCGTGTGCTTGGATTTTCGCAGTTAAAGTGCTTTATATAAATAAAGATTGTGGTTAAATAAAACCTAAGTATGTATTTTCGAGTAGTTTTTTAACCA